AATTGAATAACGTGTTTTTTATAATCTCGTGGAAATGGGATGTTACGCCTCGACGTGTGACAACGAGTGTAAAGTACTTACTTAAACAAGATTTTAAGATGTATAATTTTTGCAGTTTACATTTTATTGTAGCAATTTTTGTTCATTTTTTTAGATATTTTGAGAGATCGTACAAGAAAAAAGAAATTGTTTTTTTCGTGCTTTCGTACAATCTATATTATAGCTCTTCCACGACATATCCAGAATATATAAACGAATATAATAATAAACGAACGAAAATTTTCTCTCGCCTCAAAAAATATTACCGATCCTTCGAAACGAGACTTACTTTGAAGTAACGTGAAGTAAACACGATACGAAATGATTTGAAGGGATGAAAAACAAATGAAGGGAGAGAATGATGAGAGAGAGAAAAAGCGGGTGGAAAAGAAAATGGAGGAAGAGAGTCAATTGGCAGAAACTGAAAGAGGAACGATTGGGCGAATTAATTCGCGAAAATTCTAGTCGGAGACACTCGACCGCGTTTTCAGCCGAGATATAGTATACACGAGTCTGTAGAAGCTGGAAAGTTTCGAAAAGTAGGAAGTTCGATGTGCGTCGCGATATGCCTCCACAAGTTTCAACCCTTTAGGGGGTTCTCACCGTGGAAACAGAGGGAAGGGGAGGCAAAAGGAAGGAGGAGAGGAAGAAGAGTGGTGGTTAAGTAGAGGCAATATTTGTAACGTTCTCGGTGAAGATTTACAGTGAAACGATGCACTCGTAACTGAGCATTAATCTATGGAAACGGGGCTCGAAGTTTGCCGATCGATCAAGCCTATCTCGTTTATCGAGACTTGGAATTATCTCCTTTGCCGACTGTTTCGACAACTGTTCGAAGAAATTTTCGTCGTTTCGAATTCTTCTCCCTCTGCCCTGTAAGCAATTTCAATCGTTTAAAATTTTACCATTAACGAAGAATATCATTTCCTTCAACGATTATATATATATAAAACTATGTATAATCGCGAAATTCGAAAAATCAGCATAAAGATATTTACTTCTCCGAGTATCTTCTCTCGAATTTTTTAATTTCCTCGAGCGATAAAACTTTCAACGTACACCTCTCTCTCTCTCTCTCTCTCTCTCTCTTCCCGTTCCAGATCAATTAGAAAAAGAAAGAGAAGGGGAAATTGAATTAATGGCCTTCGAAAGGGGTAACGGTTCTGCATGAAATACGCGCGGAGCCACCGGCTCTCCACAAATCTTCCTTGCTCGCGGACACCGAACCTCGCAATTTCCTTGCCCGCATAAATCAAGGGGAACTATCACCCTTATATAGAGTCGTTTCCATCAAACGAGACGGAGGTAATTCTCGAAGAAATCGTTCGCTCGCCATATGCTCTGCCCTATCTTCACTTTCGCTTCAGGACGTACGAGTTTTTAATAGACTCTCGATCGAAATAGATTCTCTCTCTTTCTCTCTCCCCCTCTCTCTCTCTCTCTCTCTCCAATCCGTTCTCAAACGGTCGAGACGCTTGCATTAATGGAACGTTATCAGGGAGGACGATAGACGAGGAAACGAACGGTTATGAAGCGTTGGTGTATTTAGATGGGGGAGGGCGACGCATTTCGGTGGAAATAATAATAGGTGCATAAATCTGGACCCGAGTTTCACGGGACTTAGCGACTGGATGTCTGCCAGGAACAGCGTAGACAGGAATGAATATTGGAAAACCGGAAACGGTTCCCTTGAATAAAGAACGCGCCTCCTAAGAGCACGCGCATCTCGAAAGACACGTGCCCTTCCAAACGTGTTTCCGTTTCCCAACCAATGAATTTTTTAATAAAAACAGGGAAATTGATTACGGGCAGGAAAATTATTGATAAACTCGAGGAAAGCCGAGAATTCATTTTTCAACCGATATATATAAATTTCAAGCTCGGATTTTTCTGAAACTCGTCCTCGCTGAATCATCGCTGAATCTAAAACAGAATTGATTCCCGATCGATCCGAAATTCCTCTCAGCTATGCAAAACGGGTTACGGTTTACGCTTTCTCATTCTTCATTAACGATTCATCGGTATTCCCAGTTTGCCCAGGAACGGTTCGCTGCTTTCTCGCGTCCCCAAACTTTCGCCATCCTCGCCCGAAACGATGATACTACTCGTCCTGGAGTTGCTCCTGTTCTTGGTGAACTGCGTAACACACCAGGAAGCGAGCGACGAGTCTTCTTAGCCCGGTGCATTAGGAGAGCCTTTAAAGTGTCTCTCGCAGTTAGCTAACGAGGCGGAGCGCGAACGGCCACTAAATCGTCGAGTTTCCCTTTAATTACGAGGCGGCGAATCTATTGTCAAGGATCCTCGTTTCGACTTCTCGTGATCACTGGATATTTTCCATCTCCCGATTCATTAACCTCATCCTAGGTTAGTCGCCATTTTGGACTTTGACGATGCTTCCAGCGATTCGATTGACTCGTTTAATCAACGAGGGATTAGCTCTATCCTTTATATATTCTTTCCTCCATATCTGTGTGTCGAATCTGCATTTCGATCTCAAAAGGAAGAAATGTAACGTGATCGAGGCACAGGTTGATGATGCTCGAACAGTCGATGTCCATTAAGCCGAAATTCCATTCGAATATTTTTTGCGATTTCTTGCGAGGATCTTGGACGATGATCGATCGAGGAATTGGTGAATCATGCGAATGGTTTGGGAGGATCATCCCATTGATAAATTGCGAGCGGTGTGCGATTGTGAATAGCTCGGATCGAAAGATCGTAACTTGCCGCTTATTCACAACCATTTCACGATCATCGTTGAACCGCATTATTATCCGTAGTATGATATACATCGAGACATTTATCTGATGGATTATTCTAGAGATTGTTTGTAATAAATCTTGCATGCTTTAGAATGGTATGAGAAAAAATAGACTGAATATAGCGGTAGATAAAAGATGGTGTTTATTAATCTTATTCAAAGATAAACAATGATTCTCCTGGTAATCGTATTAACTGCTTGTCTCTCGCTCACTTTCCAAACACATTTGAACGAATCTCAACAGAGATTCATCTCAAGAGAGAGAAAGAGGGATCTTCTTCGCACGGTAAACGCAGCAGTCGAATTTCCAAATTCATAAACATTACTTTTTACTTCAGTAAATAAAGCGATAAAGCACTGATTCAAGAGCGTTTCTCTGTAAGCAAGGGAGAATGAGAAACGAGAATGTTTGCACATAATGTAAAGAAAGGAGGAAGGTGTTAATCGTGAATGGAATTCGCAACACGTGTGCCGCGGTTTCCGAATGATTGATGATTCTTGATAACTTTCCCTGCTCTCTGCTTGATGCTCAACCACCTCGTTGGACCAAGTTGCTGGTCGATGTTAGAACCGTTGTGGAATCATTTATCACGGATAAATATAATTTTTCCCATAATGTTTCCGTGGAAAATAGAAGGGGGAGGAGAGGGATATAAATTTCTCAGTTCTCAAATTCCGGCGTGGAGAATTACATCGTACGCAAGGGAAGGGAAAGGTAATACTGTAATTTCATACTAATGGATGATTCCTAGTTAGCAAGGTGAATGTGACTAATTTCGGTGAGGAGTACTTCAACGTAAGTTAGCTGTATATACGTGCTCGCTGTAGGCACGTTCGTCCCTTTACCTAAGTCTAATTAATCGAGCCACTCTCCAAGGTTAAATTCATTCTCCTTTCATCCTCCTTAGAATGGTTTGTAATGGACCATTCTCGAGCCCGAAGCCATGGAAAATTATGACGCGTTATCCATTAGAGGTCCGTTCGAGTTAACCTTTAATTTCAATTTCGTTTAAAGGGATTAAACGACGAGAATGAAAATGAAATATTTAACTTGACTCTTCGATTTCCGATACGATGCGTCAACCATTTCACGTGGTTGATACAATTTGTGGAATATTTACCAGAAATTAAGGTCAATAATCCTGCATCGAATATCATCGACATATTTTTGGGGAAAAAAATATTGACGATGAAAAAATATTACATGGAATGTTGTTCTTCTTCCATTTTGTTCGCTGTCGAAAATCGCCAGGAATTTTATTTTTTTTTTTCTCCATTATCGACACGGTTCTATATTCTATAATCGAACAGAATATATCTTACGAATATCTTGGAGATTATTAACGATGTTGGAAAATATTTTTGACAAGAGCCGAGTGCATAGATCCCAGACAACTCTTCAAATAATCATTCTCTAAAAGCTTAAGTGAAAAATAATCTCTCTATCTTTTCATATAAATAATTTTTATATCTCACTCAAAATAAATGATTCATTTCGTTGAAGCGACAAATTAATTTACATCCAATATTAATCTAAATTATCCTTCAAATATTTCAAATTTCCACGAATATTCGAAAACGGTAGTACACCCCGTTACATGCAACACGATCGAACCTCCCCTTCCTCCCTCCGGCGGATTCGAATACACGGATCTCGGTTTAAATTCTCGCGAATTTTCCTTCCCCTAGTTCCCTGCGAAATTAATTGGCACACGCAATCAAACTCGCTTACCGGATGTAATTTATCCGCATAATAATTACATCGCGTCGAAGGAGAAAGAGGACGGGTTAGATGCGTGGATCGAGGAATCGAGAAGAACGGAGAGAGAATATAGAGGGCGGGGGAGGGGGACGCAACCGCAATTGATAAACCGCGGAGTCACGTGCATTATTGTGACGATAATGATGATGTTAGTGCGTTCGTTATAACCGAGCCGACGGCTGCATTGTAATAAACCTCCATTGATGAATATTCAATAGCACTTGTCGCTTCGTTCCACCCGTCCGTTTCGAACGCGCTCGTTCCAGATGACGGGATTCCTTCAATTGGGACCGGGGACCGCCTTGTCCAACGTTTGTAACAAACGTTCGTTTGATGTATATCGGCCGGCCGAAATATTCGTTCGATCGTACCGTTTCAAGGATTAATTTCAAGGATTAAAAAGGGGAAAAATTGCGAAAAGCAGGCTTCCTTCCTCCTGAAGAGGAGGAGGGTAAGGTCGTATTAAAGGTCAAGTGATGGTAGAGAAAAATTGATGTCGTTGGGAGAACGTGATAGGTGACGATTTGGAGGGTGAGATATAAGGGTGACCTCGATTCATTCGATTAGATAGAGGAATTTGATAGAGGTGTTCGAGCTTTGATCGTGGGAATTATTCGAAGTTATATGTTATTAAGAAAACGTTGAATTGATATTTGTTGTTTGGCGGTACATAATTTTTGCTTTACTGATTCAATATATATACGATTATTTATAAATTCTTTCAGCGTCCCTTCCGTAACGGACGAGAGAGAAACCGGTTGAAATTTATCACGCAGAAATTTCGTGAAATCCATCCAGCGGAGTTTCCACGTGTCCTCGAAACGAAATTTCGTTAAACTCGGCTGTGACCACCGTTACGCGGATGGACGTGTATATTCATCGTTAGTTGTAGAATCCGGTGGTGGATGGAGGCGGGCCACGGAAACGAGATCGGTCTCCGGCGTGAAAGCCTCGCTTCCCTGTGACCGGAACATCGTTTCTAACGTTGCGTGTCGCGAGGTTGCGGCGATCCATGGCAAACTCAATTTTCGAAACAGCCAGAACCTGGGAGAAAGGTGAAAGTTAAGAGCCGTCTGGGTGTATCCAGATACGCGCGTCCGTTCGCTTCACTTGCGCCCCCTTACCAGGGGTGAGGGGGTGAAAAGTTTCGCTTCCGTGTTTAAACGCTCCCCTTTGAGCGTGGCGAGTCGCGAATTTCTTAGGCAGCATCCTAACGGTGGATGCGCAAAATTGCAAAACTGAGTTGAAATTGGTAACACGATGATGTTACAAATTTTGATGAAGACAGATCGGGTTAATTTTAATGGCCAAAGTTACTTGCTCAACAAACAAGTTTATTCCTCTGCAGCGCAAAGATTAGAAGAATATTATTATTGCTTTATTCGAAATTTTTTTAACCGATTAAATTTTTAATTATAATACTTGATACTTTTCTTTTTCTTTTTAGATAGATCTGTGATATTATCACAGATTTCAACCAAACAATTTTAGAACGAAACGTTCCTGTATTCGCGAAATATAATCAACTAAGGTTAGAAATCAATGCAAATGGCTCAACGAATTTAGAAGAGGGATAAATGGATAAAGTACATATTTCGGAAGAAATATATATTCTATACATTTATAATAATAATGCAACCAATGCTTTAATAATTTTTGTTACATGTTCAATGCGTGTAATGATAGGTTTAAAATTGGATACATCGGATACGCTATCAAGATGTTTACGCGGGCGTGTTTGCGCGTGTACTCGGATGGTAGGGATAGAAGAGAATGCGGGCGCTAGATGTCAACATAATTGGACACGGAGGGATGAGCGTTGGTGCGAGAGAAAGGGGTATCGCCATTAGCGCGCGCACGTTGGAGGGCCAGGGTGGATTGTCACGTGGTATTACATCCCTCGCGACTAGGCGGCTCTATTTTCAGCAAGGTGGCATCGATCGCCGCTAAATTATTTCGTGCGGCCTGCCTATACGTGGACCTGGCCCGAGAAAACTGACCTACATCACCCTCTTTCCTCCCCCCTCCACCTCCCTCCTCCGCATGCATACACGACACACACACACACGCACAAACACTCATCCAACTTTCACCCTGGAAACACGTCGCAGTCGGGTCCACGGTTGCTTTTTGCGCGTTCCTGGCTTTAAGTAGAATACCCCCGGATATGGCCGGACGCGGTGGTAAAAGCCATTTGCCCCGACGACGCATCGCGGACTCCGGTCTTTTTCAATCTCACCCTCGAGGAACCGTATCTGGAGCGACTGAGAGCCTTCTCATTGAGATGTTCGTCGGCGATTTTTTTCCCCTTTTTTTCTCGTTTCGCGCCAGCCATCATATCGATTCTCAACAGTTTTCGTTCGAACGAACCAAATTTTTCGGTGATCGAATATTTTTTTCTTCTTCTTCTTTTTTTATGATTCGTCAAATATTCGACGAATGTTTTTAAGGTGTATATATAGGTTGGGAGATTTTCTATGAATCGAGATAAGATTGATAAGAGGAACGTTTGCTGCATGGGTTATTCAATGGATTAATAATATATTCAATGCGAGTGACGCGAAGATACACGAAGATTCTTTATTATAGGATTTCTTATTCCGTGATGGATGACGCGTATGATCGATGTGAATTTTTTCCAAAGAGTGTATGATACAATTTTTCAAGTATTCTTTCGCGCGTGCACAAATGTCGTCGTCAATATGCACAGTTACTTTATAATTGCGTTTAACCGAAAATATCGTTCGAAATGCATTTTCCATTTTTGATTTCGAGCCGAATATATCGAACGTTGCAATAATACGCAAAATTACAATGAGTGAAACGGATGACTTTACGAATGATGAAAGAATAATCGAATGAATCCCATACACGAAAGAGAATCAAAGAGAAGACTTGGAACGTGTTTCTATTTTTAGAAATGTTGCAAAATATAAACAATAATGTTTGGAGAGAAGACGGAAGGTCTACTAAAATAGACGGTTTACCGGTGACCTGGATAAGAAATGGCGAGCTCTGGAAAGATTAAGGGTGAACGTCTGGGATTTGTCAGCCACGTATTTCCAAGTAGAAATAAGTAGAAACCGATCAGACTAAGAGCTAGGACGGATTCTGGTTGTCGCTGGACCATTGACGCTATTTCCTATTGGCTATTGATAGATTTAGAGGAGGATCGATAAACTCGGTAAAAGGGGTTTCGCGATTGTTTTATTAACGCGTTGCACGTATGCGCAAAAGAAGGACAAAGAGAGCTTAAAATACAATCTACATTGCTATATATCGACGTTGTTGTTTTACTTTCACGTACACCCTCGTATTCGTTGTGTTTATCGTTGGGTTGATGGCAAATATTTTGATATCTGGATAATATCCTCGAATGTGAATTTGATGGATCTCCCGGAAGTTAAGTTAATGTTATTACGTTACGTTCAACAAACGAGGCGAAACTTCCCTCGACTATGATTATCTATGTTCAAAGTTTGGAAGGTGTTGAAGTTATTTGCGAATTCTGAATAGTTTCACTCGATCATCGTGACGTTTCATTTTGGATGTACGTAATTGTTGTACAAAATTACATTTTTTTATCGTCCATCTCCAAGAATATTCTCTCGTAAAAGAAAAAAAGAAAGAAAAGAGAAAAAACAAAAAATTACGAAATTTTCCATTATCTGGATTCGTAATTTCTTTTTTTTTTTTTTTTTTCAATGCTCGATTCGTTTCTTCTCAAGAGGAAGAAATATAACAA